CAAGGTAGGCATTTGGTGCGAGGGGGAGGAGGAGGGAGGGAGCGAGTTAGGAAAGTAAAGGAGAATTTATTGTACGTAATTGTACGCAATTTGATAACTGGCTCATACAGGTGCAGTCGAAACAAGGACTACACGGCCTTTCAAAAATACAAAATATGCTTCACGGATTTCTGGATAGATCTCGCGCTCGTATACACGAGCACTCGCTGCATGTAATCAGCTCATAAATGACAGACTCTCAGTGACGTTAGGGCTGCGTACGAAGCCGGGAGGGCGCAGATCTGTGGATAGCAGAGCCGGGTGTTTAATCCAGGAGAAAGGACGCCAGGCCGAATGGTAACGTGCCCGAGGCCGCATCAGAGCCTCCTCCAACATTAACTGTCGCGGAGATAAGGCTCTCAAGGGATTCTCGCAATTCAGCGAAGCGGGGTCGCTCCTCGGGCCTGTACTTCCAGCAGGGCACCATAACGGTGGCGTAGATGTGGTCGCTGGCAAACACCGGCCTCGAAAGAATGAGCCCCCGCCGGAGCTGATCATAGAACTCCAGAGGAAATAGGTGTCCGAAGGGCGTCTGGCCAATCGTGAAGATTTCCCACATCAGCACGCCGAAGGACCACACGTCGGAGCTCGTAGAGAAGACATTGGAGAAAACGGCCTCTGGAGACATCCACTCCATCAGCAGCCAGCCAGGACGTTGCAACGTCACGCAAAAAGCCCGTTTCACGCGCTGAAGATCTTTCCAGGTTATTTTGCTAACAAAAGGTGCACATTTCGAGGCGGAAACCAACCCTTTTTTATATTCAGGTACAGTAGGTGGGCTAACTCATGAAATGTCAACCGAAATTCCAAAATGCATTTTCGTTTAGAAAAGATTAATTAAGTAGGGTTGTGGAACTAATCATCATGCAGCATAATTCTATAATAGTTCAGTTGCCTCGGGATGCCGGCTTTCGAGAAGACATCTTTCCGGCTGCATGCAAAAACCATACTCTGTAAAAAATGACTGCTTAAGCAGCATGCATTGTTCTCATTGATTTTCGATGTCCTTAAAAATTCAATTATATTTCATGGGAAACATGCATAAAAATATTCATCTTCTTGCTCATTCGGTAGGAAATGACGTCTCCTTCCAATTTTATACACGAAGGAAGGTTAATATTTGGTTTTCAAAAACTTTTTCAATTCCCAAATAATTTTGAACCCGCTCTGCCGTCACACCGGCATTCAGGGTTTCCAAACTACAAGCCATGCATTTTGCGCGTACGGAAAACCACACATTTCTCTACGGTATTAAGAGGAGACAATATGAGGTTCATAAAATTTAGCATTGGATTTGATCCATATTGTTAACTTTACAAGCAACATTGGTAAATGCAGAGACATGAAGTTTTATGAACGGCAATTTTACGGAATTAAAAAACCTCACAGTTGGAAACTTAAAAGCGGATTATGTCCCTCCTTCGAGAATAAAGTTGAAAGAAGACGTAAGTTTCTACCGAATGAGCAAGAAGGTGAATATTTTTATGCATGTTTCCCATGAAATATAATTGAATTTTTAAGGACATCGAAAATCAATGAGAACAATGCATGCTGCTTAAGCAGTCATTTTTTACAGAGTATGGTTTTTGCATGCAGCCGGAAAGATGTCTTCTCGAAAGCCGGCATCC